CAGGAATCCGCCCCAGAAATCCACGGCGGCGTCCCCGTGCCCCATTTCCATCAGCATCCGTGCCAGGACGATCTTCGGGGCCGAAACTGGAACTTATGCCGGAGCCGCAATATCAATTTTGAAAACCGGCTGGAGGTCGATTCTAATCGTGTAACTTTCCGGATTCCAAGCCAACGGGATCGGCGACCCTCGAACCTCTCCGATTCTACCCGGAACCGTTCCGTTCCCGGTTACGAGCAACTCGAAAAGCCCGAAATTATCGAATCTGCTAATCCAGTCGCGGTTAAAAACCCTTCGATCCGCGCGCGCGTCAAGTAACCGAGCCCGGAACTTCCGGCGTGTGACCGGGAACCGAATTACGAAACAAGTTTCCGCGCGGAACTCTGTGGAATTGAATTTTTCAAAAATGAAATGCTCGCTCGGTTATTCTACTTCAATCGAGTTATGATTGCACGGTAGATTATCGCGTGGTAATCGCAGCCGACTCCACGACTTTGCAGTTCGAGTCCGAAACTTCCGATGGGCAACACACAACTTCCAGGGTCCGCCAACGTAAATCCCGTGTTTCGGCCCGGGGAATCGATTTCGACCCGGTAAACGCGTCGGCGAATTACCGCGCGATCGAGGGAAAATTCTTCCCGTCGTTCGAATATTCGATGCGACCCGTTCGCATCGAATTTTTACTTTACGCATTGTTCCGGTCGAACCGGCGCAGCCGCACGCGCGTTACGAATGCCCGGAAGTTCCGGAATATTAGCTCCAGGTTCCCCCGATTTGTCATGCCCGTAAGCGAAACATAATTGCGCGTGCAAGATACAGAAATAAACGTCCATTAAACGCGAGTTACGATTAGACTGCGGATCTTGATGCGGAATAAAAATCTTCGTTTCCAACGTTTCGTACTCTATTCCATGCTCTCACCCCCCACACCCTCCCGTCACCGGCAATTAATCATCTCTGCAAATTGAGAATAGCTCGTATATTGCTGTTCTTCGATCAATCAAATTATTCTCCTGCTGTGAATTGCACCTGCTCTCTTGCTGAAGCTTCGGAGTCATTTTCATAAATAAAGTCCGGGCTGGTTTAACCCTTTGCGCCCGATGTGGCGACTCCAAGGCGACCCTAGAAATTGCTGCGCTGTTTTCAAGAGAACTTTCACATTGTTGAATTTGTCTGTATTCGATAAATTGTAAAATAATAGAAGTTATATATAATAATATATGTGACTTCTTATATAACTTATATATAATAATAATAATATATTGTATATATTAATGATGGAAGAAATGTTCAATTTCATATGTATCGAATAGAAACAATCGTATCAAATGGAAATACTGTACATTGAAACAAATGTCTCCATTTTGCAGTTCAAATAGTCTCGAGTACAAAGGGTTAAATGCTTCTTCACCCCTTGACGTACCAGCTTCTTCGCAATTGCTGCGATTAGAAATTTTTCGATTGCAATCATTTCTTCGAGGAGAAAGAAATTTGATGTTTATCGCGTGTCTAAATTTACTACAATGCGGAAAAAATTAATGACAATAGATCAAAATTTTATTCACACACACAATGTAAAGGTACATTTATATTTTATTTACTTAACGCGTTAGTTTCGGTAAACATTGACGAAAGCACCCGTACAAAACCGGAATAAAATATTGTAATATAAAACAGCTGCCTACGGTGCTCCGTAAATCCAACGATAAATAATTTATTTCAAGTTTATTTGGAAGAATTAATCGACCAACAATTATTATCCACCTATACAATTATTATCCATTATTCCATTACCATCCACATTCCATTACCATCCACTATTCAATTATTATCCACTATTCAACTATACAGTTATTATCCACTATTCCACTAATCAATTAATATTCACTATCAATTACCTTACGAATCGCCACTTTCCATTTCTCCATACCATTTCTATATTTTCAACACCTTTAAATAAGCACCCTCGCATAGCTCTCACTAATAAACAACAAATTCCAACGATAAATAATTTATTTCAAGTTTATTCGGAAGAATTAATCGACCAACTTCCACGGCGTTCGACCAATTTTCCAGACGTCGCTGGTACGGCCAGTTTCGACAAACGACCAGAGCGTTCGCAATGGCAGCCGTCCGGTCGGTGCGCCTCGGCGTCCTCTTCCCCGTCTGCGACCAGACATCAATCACCAGGAACGGAAACAATAAGACAGAGATATCAATCGGTAGCGAGCATCCGTCGGCCCCCGGTTCCCGGTCAACGAAACTGGAAAAGTCCTGCTGGATACAGGGCTCTCCTCGGCCTGTCACTCCCCTCGCCGCGAAGTGTCAGCTCTCGAGCGGCCTCCTCCTCCTCCTCCTCCCAGCAGGTGTTCTCAGCCGCGGCGCGGCGATCAGAACACGCGCTCGCTCGTTTAACATCGGCCCCGTCCCCATCAATCCCGCCCCTTCCCGGCGAAGAGTCAATTACCCGAGGCTAAGATCCCCTCGGCTTCTTCTGAAATGTCGTTCACGAGCCAGCTCGTTAATCGAACCCACCCTCCGAGACAGCGTGGCAACCGTCGCGCAACCAGCACTCGATTCTACCTAGAAATCCGGCTGGACGCAGCGTCCTCTCGCCGAATTCTTCGCGTCGGACACTTCAGCATCTTCCGGCGGCTCGGTTAGGTGCACTTTGAACCAGCGTGCCGACGGTGATTTTGAATTCCAAGAGACTCAAGCCTTCGAGGTTGGACGCCAAAAAGTCGCCGAATATCGAAGCGATTTAATTTTGACACTGGCGAGCTCTTAACGAGGCTAATGTGTATACAGTAATGTCTCCCTAAATGACGCTCAGATTGTCCACAGAAATAGGCAATTTGGGAAGAGGAGACACGATTATTCGAGCCTTGCAACTCGTTTTTATTGCCGTTGACAATTCGTAACCATAAAAGTGAACCGCAAGGATCGAATAATCGTGTCTCCTCTTCGCACATTGTACACTTCCGGGGACCACTTTTGTGGTCAATTAGAGAGACATTACTGTATATTGTTTTATCAAAATGGCAAGATTTGTTTCATTTGAGCTTCGTGGGATTTTTGTGATAATATATGCTCGGATGAAGCAGATTACATAAGAATTTCTGAAATGTTTGTACAATATCAGATCAATTGTGAAAAAAAATCAGAAGCCAGTCATTTCGACTGATTCGATAATTCCAGTGTTAACGAAACTGAAACTGTGAAATCAGCATTTATCGTGGCGCATCGTGATCTAATTATTTTGCACTCTGTACAATCTAGGATGATGAAGCCAGTTACCGTGTGCTGACCAATTACTGCGACCATTTACCGTCAATTACTGTGTGCTGCGCCTTTGCTTCGTTTCCCGGCATAATTAACGATATAATTATCGCCCAAGCCATATTAAATTCTTGCAACCCTTTCATTCTGTTCCTTACCGAATAAACAAATTTAACACGTCTTATCACAGCTCGCTTACACGCAAACAATAAAAATCCAACAGCATCCCCCGGCGAGCCTAAAACTTCCGTTCACCGCGCCGCCGAGCAAAATGTCTCGGCGGAAAGTTTTCTGAAAAACCCGCTCTGCTTTCCATGAACCAATCGCGAACGCGCAATCCCATCATAAATCGAGTCCCCGGTTAATCAGCATCGCTCGTCGAACGAGAGAGAAGTCGACACCCGTCTAGCATCATTCTTCGGCATTTAGATTGCTGAAATCGATCAGGTTGCCTCGGGTAGATTTTCAGCGGGTTGACGACGCTGAAGGGGTGGCGCGGGGTGGCGGGCCGGTGCCGTTGGCACAGCGGCGCGCGCGGGGGATAAGATGAAACGAGGCGCACTTGATTTCTGGTTAATAAAACGTTACGCGAGACATAAAGCGATACGATGATGTATCACGGGGGTGTACGCGGAGGCAGGGTGAGTAGCTGCAAGACTACGTGTTGCGGCTGAGGGGAATACGGCACGGTCTGAAGCGGTGGGCTGGGGAATCAGTGGGTGGTGTTGGATCGGGAGCGAGAAGGAACGTGAGAGCCGGAGATCGGGAGAGACTGAGCGGTAAGGGGGAGAGAGAGACGGAGAGAAAGAGAGAGAGATAGAGATAGAGATATTGGAAGAGAGAAAGGTAGAGTAGAGAGAGAAAGGGAGAGAGAGAGAGATATTGAGAGAGAGATATTGAAAGAGGAGAAGGCAGAGCAAAGAGAGAGAGAGAGAGAGAGAGTGAGAGATTAAAAGAGAAGAAGGCACAGCAGAGAGAGAGAGAGAAAGAGAGATTGACAGAGAAGAAGGCAGAACAGAGAGAGAGAGAGAGAGAGAGAGAGAGATTGAAAGAGAAGAAGACAGAGCAGAGAGAGAGAGAGAGAGAGAGATTGAAAGAGATAAAGGCACAGTAAAGAGAGAGAAAGGGAGAGATTTAAAGAGAGGAAGGCAGAGTAGAGAGAGAGAAAGAGAGAGAGACAGAGAGAGAGAGAGAGATTGAAAGATAGAAAAGCAGAATAGAGAGAGAGAGAGAGAGAAAGAGAGAGAGAGTGAAAGAGAGAAAGGCAGAATAGAGAGATAGAAAGGGAGAGAGAGAGATTGAAAGAGAGAAAGGCAGAATAGAGAGCGAGAAAGACACAGAGAGATTGAAAGAGAGAAAGGCAGACCAGAAAGAGAGAGAACGAGAGACAGAGAGGGAGTTGCGGCGAGAGGAAGGCGGGCGCCGGGAAGGAGCACCGCACCAACACAAAGAGGGGCGAGAGGGGGGAAACGTTATTATAGGGGAGCGCGAGCGCACGGTTGCCGGCGTGTTAGCCTTACATCGTATACCCGAAGCCCCCGTATGATAAGGTCTGGCGTGTGGGTGTGCTGATGTCTGTGAGCGCGAACGGGTGAGAACCGTAATGGGTTGAAGAGAGCCGAAAGGGCGCAGTCGCGAAGCCGGAGCCATCCTCGACCCCCGGCGGGCAGCGGCGGCGGCGGTGGCGGCGGCGTCGGCGTCGGCGTCGGCGTCGACGGCGTTGGAAGCGCCGGCGTCGGCGTCGGCGTCCTCGTCGTCAGCATCCTACCGGCTCGAGGAGACTGAGTTGGTCTCGCGCGAAGGTTCGGGCCGCACACGGTTCGCCGATCCTCCGTCAGCCGCCGACGCGTAATCTCAATGGAACGCGCGCTCCGAGCAAGTGTCCGTCCCGGTTGCTGATCGATAACCCGATCGATCGATCGCGTTTGGTTCGCGTGCACGGTGCCGATCGCGGCGAAACGTGTCGCGGTGTGAGGATCGCTCCCGCGAAGGAAGACGGTCCTTCGAGCGTCGCGAACCAAGTGGCAATTCGATTTTTGTTTTAAGTGCGCCGAGGAGGAATGATCTAGCTAGGCTGGACCGGTGGCCCGTCCGTCACGTTCGTCCGATCGGGGACCGTATCGCCGAGGGGGGCCCGCAGGGATCCCGGCTGCGAGTCCGGTTTGCACGCCGCTCGCCAGCGGACCGTCAGCCTCTGAGAGCATCGTCGGCGGATTGAAAAAGCGTGCGCGTACGGGTGTGTGTCTCGCCATGGCCTGCTACGACTGAGAGAGTAACCGCGAGCTTCTTCTCCCGTTTCCGTCGACGAGCACGTAAGTACCGATCCCGTCGTCCCTTGTCCCCCTAACAAGATCGTCGTCGCCCCGAAGTTCGGGCGAACCGACGCGACGGCCAGCGTACGTCGCGCACAGGATATCGCGTTTCGGGTGGCTTCTTCTTCCGCCTCTTCTTCCGGAATCCGGTCAAAAGTTTACGTGCCGCATCGGCGATCCGCGGGTCGCCGCTGCGGGACAACAATTTTACGAAAGCGACGCTTCTTTCCCGGGGAATTCGCGTCCATGCGATCGCGTTGCGCCGCGACGGAGAGACGCCGGGCGAATTCCGGATCCATGATCGATCCTCCTCCGGGCTCGCCGCAGTCCGCTCGCCGAGCGGCAAGGTTAAGCGAGAGGGGCTGCAATTAATCGATCGCGATCCGATGGGCTCCGATACGAATCCCGCGGGATGAGTTTCCGCGATAACCGGCGATGGATGAGCGTTCCGCGCCGATCACGCTGCGAAAACATTCCGCTCGGTTTCATCGAATTAGAAGCCCCGAATTAATTGGGGAAAGCGCGCGCGGTGCTGCGAGAGACCGTTCGACGGGAAAAGAAGATCGCTCGGAGCGCTCGCGATTTCTCTCTGTCTATCTCCGCCCTCTCCCTCCCCTCCCCCCTCCCACCCTCGCTGTCTCTCTTGCTACACCGGGCTGTGTATAGGACACGCGAAAATATTGCCAGCGGCGGGGCGAGGCGCGAGAGCGAAGCGGAACGGTGCTCCTCGCTCGCGCGTCCATCGCCTTAATTAAAACCGCTCGAGTGACGTCGGCATCGAACTTTGTCTCATTAGTCCCGTTTCTTCGGCGATTCATCGGGAACGACGATGCACGTAGAGCTGGTCCCCGCCGCGTCAAGCTCGAGGACGCAGCTTCCGTTAATTAACCGTGCTTTTAGCTACGGCGCGAGACCGATCGAAGCCGCGGTCCCGATGCTCGCGGGAAATGGGGAAGCTCGGGATCGCGTGAATCGCGAACGAGGCTCGTTCGTCGAATCCGAAACCGGCTCGTCGGAAACGTATCAATTTGCCAGCTGTAAAAGAACTGTAAAACCGAATGCCGGAGGAATTTCCCCCTTCGCCCCCCCCTCCCTCCCCTTCCTCCTGCCCCTCTTCTTTCTTCGACGGTAATTCGAAAGGGGGCGAGATATTCTCGCCGATTCGAGAACCGAAGATACGATACGACCGTTCGATACGTATCCCACGTATTAGAGGGACGAAGTCTCGCTGCGTTATGCCGGGCACGTACAACCGCGAGTATAATGCAAGATCGTCGCTGGATAATTTCATTTCGCCGAACAAATTTTCTGTTGGATATTACGGTGTTCCTCTCTCTCTCTCTCTCTCTCTCTCTCTCTCTCTCTCTCTCCCTCTCTCTCTCTATCTTTCCCTCTATCTTTCTCCCTCTCTCTCTCTCTCTCTCTCTCTCTCTCTCTCTCTATCTATCCCGTTCTCTTTCTCTCTCTCTTTTTCCCTATTTTCCTCTCTCTCCCCCGTTTCTTCTATTCCCGCTGTGTCGTTCGCGACAGAGGTAGAAAAAAGGAACGAGCGGAGAACAAATTAAACGGGGTGCTAGAATACCGCAGCCGGCGCCTGACCCCTGACCCCTGGCCCAGCTACCGCGAACCAAATCCCTGCGATTCGACGTAATGATATTACACGCTATAAATTCCGCCGGGCGTGACTCTCAACCACTCGCGACGCGTCGACGTAGCCAGCGTTGCGTCGATCCTTCGGATCTCTGTGCACGACCGTCGTTGCGCCTTTGATCTCCATGCGAGAGAGAGAGAGAGAGAGAGGGAAAGTGACGTTGCTGCAGGAATTATTTCACCCTTTTTTCGGGCCAGCTTCGTCGATGATGCTTCGCATCGTTGCTGTCTACGAAAGTGTCCGGCGATTTTACGTGTTAACGCTTCGACGACGTGTGCGTGACTTGTCTCAGTTAGCGACGTCGCTGGTCTCGGTTGTGCAGAATTAAAATACTTGATTGGCAGAATCGATATAGTCGTTCTCATTTTTACTAGGCACGGCGAGGTGACTCGTCGTCGCTCGTGGCGGTTATTAGTGGATACTGCGGATTTATGCGTTTGAAACAGAAACGAATGGGTGAAATAGAAAATTGCGATTATGTTAAAAGAATTCGATAATATTGTCGCTGTATTTAAACGAAATTACTCGAAGAAACAGTTTATACTTGTTTCGTTTATATTTCCTATAAATCGTCTTGGAAAATTTCTGTCTTTTATAAAACTTTCGCTGTTCAATTCATTGGACTCGTTTCACGTTAATATTCCGATAATATTCTGTTCGAAGCAGTGGACTTCGTTAAAGAAACCAGAAAATCGTCGAATATGGAGTTATTGTAAACTGACGGTGTAACTACGAACGAATGAAGAGCGATTTCATCGAATGTTCGCGCGATTTATTACGACGATTGCTCGAAGTTCGCGTCGGGAAGCGTCGGTTCTAATCTCGTGGAGCGCGCCGATTTGCTTAATGTCTAAGCGTTTTAATCAAAAGTTTTCGCGAGACGAGGTTTTAGACTTTATGGGCGCGACGTAATATCAGATATGGATACTCGAACGGCGAGTTTACGAAAATTTCTCGGGGATACGGTGGAATTTTACTGGTCTATTTCATTCGAAAACTGGAGAAAATCCGCGCCGCGAATCCGTAAAAATTTATGCAAGCTGTGCGAGGAGATTTCGTTCCGGGTTGCCTTCCGTCGAGAGCCGAGATGCACCGCATCTGGCCGGCCGCGGGAGATTCGCACCGACCAAGTGAAGTGTTTAATCGACAATGATCCCCTTTTCTTAACGTGGAACACTGCGCGAGTCCTTCGAACAGCGAATAAACGGCTGCTAAATAAAAGTATTCTGTCTCGCAAAGAGAGGAGCGCCGCTTGCTGAAAAGGATTCACCTGCGAGCCTTCCCAATTTATTATTATTATTATTATCATTATTCTTAATTAACACTAGAGCTAGGTGACTAATGTATATTATTTTATATAAATGACAAGATTCGATTTATTTGAATTTCCTTCGATTTTTATTATAATATATGCTCTAACGAAGAAGTTCGTATAAATATTTCCGACAGGAACTTTCTTCCAGTTTTTTTATTCGGAGATCATTAAAGAATACATACATATTCATATAATATATACATATACATATAAATGAACGAATAATTAGTACAGAGACAAATAAAGTCCAAAAAGTCGGCAGAGAAATGAGCCGTTTATTTTGAAAGTGGCATAAGTCACTTTACCGTGATGAAAAGTGGTGATTTTTTAATGTTTATACGAAATTATTTATACTGAGAAAAATATCAGCAAACCCTTAAATATATCGACTTAAAAACAAAGTGACTTATGCCACTTTCAAAATAAACGGCTCAAATGTGAAAGAGACCTGAACGGTCGCTTAGATCGCCCGCGCTTCTAATCACTCTAATCACAGAAATTTGACACCAGAACTCTTGGACGGTACTCTCGGATCAAAAACATTTCAACATGTGCGAACAATTCAAAGAGAACCAGCTTCTCGCGAAAGGCCGTGGATTTCATTGAAACAAATTCCCGATAGCCGCGCGCGCGTTCATGAAAACGTGTCCGACATGGTTTCCCGTATATCAGAAGCGGCACTAATTCCTTGGTCAATTCAATTTCGCTGCCGCGATCAGCCCCGTGCTTACCTAAACTCATTCTGTTCATTAAGCGCACGCACTCTGTCCAAACATTGCTATAGAAATGAACGACACCGTGCGCCCGCCGCGGATTCCTTTGAACGGATTTGCCGTCACGCGGCCGTCGATCAATCGCCGTCGTCGTCGCTGTAAGGTAAAATGTCCCTATTCGCGACCCCCCGCGACCCCCCTCATATCGCCAGTCATCTATTCACGGTTTAAAAGCGCCACGGATGGACGCAGTTATACCATTTTAATTTCCAATTCGCTTAATACTTGTTGCACGTTCCGCACGCGTCGGCGTGCTCGATTCGTAGACAATTTCATCGGCGGAATTTTTCGAATATTTCTCCGCGGCACTAATTCATCGAAACGAAACACGAACGAAACGCGTTGCCGGCGTTCGGGCGGGGCCCGCTAATGAAAATCGCGCGCGATCGAAGCGAATTCGATCGCGCGCCGCTTTTATACGGCGAGTGCCGCCGTTCCAGTAACTTTTCATACTGTTTATGCTCGGCGGGAATACATACATATTTCGCGCGACGCTAAGGGCCTGGACAGCGGGCTGGTTAACTCTTAGGGTGCTCGCTAGATCACTATGTACGGCGGTTATCTGCGACGCGGCGTCCGGGCAACGCGTGCGAAACTTTTCTGTAACGGAAATGCGACTTTTTAATCGAAATATTGCAGCACCGCGCGCCGCGATCTCCGCACCTCACGTGCAACTTATCGAATGAATCTTATGCAAGTTAGTATGTAAAGTCATAGGCGAACCGTTGCAGTCGCTATCTGACATAGTGAATTATATTATGCAAAAGAAAACGGTGATCGCAACTATTTGATCACATTATATACAGTTTTTTCATTGTAATTGGTTTTTAAAGTTGGCTTTACGTTACTTGCAATATTTCTTTCATTATAATAATATAATTAGCTCCGCATTAATTATAGTATTTTTTATATTATAACAATATAGTATAATGTAGTATAGCATAGCATAATATAGTATAAAGCTTTACATTAGTCATAATATTCTTAATTTGTTCCTTCTATTTCGTTTTGTCCTCCAAATACTCGAAACATCTTAGAATTTACAGCTAATTGAACAGCTAATTTTTACGCACGGCGAGCATATTCGTCATTACGCGAGACATTGCCATTTTTTTAGGATGACTATGCACGTTAAAGAACAGCTAACATGGCCAGCTGATGCGAACCATATTTATAATACAGACCCGCAGTCCAACAATAGCAAACTAACGCAGTGAATCATAGTACACACAAATCAGTAGGTGAACAACGAGACAATGAA